GTCACTCAGGGGAAACCCTTAACTACGAGTGACGGACCTTGTCCGTCACGCGGTAAAATTAACCCCAGATCGCGGTACTAGAGGCAGACCGGGAGCACCCGATAGTGCTGCCCAGCACATGCTGTCAGAGCGAGCACATGTGCTTAGTATACTTACCTTCCGCCTCCCTGCACTTCCTGGTTCTGTGTGAAGTGCAGGGAGACGGATCAGTGATGATCCTGCCCCCTGTTAAAAAAAAAAAAAAAAAAAAGTTTATTTAAAATCCCACCCCCTTTACTCATTTTAATTAAAAAAATTAACCCTTCCCTGCCAATTGATCACTGACTACAGTGATCAATTGGCAGGGATTACATTTTACTGTCTTCTGATTTTTTATTTTTTTATTAAAAAGAATTAACCCTCAGGGGTTAAATTTATTTAATTAATTTAAATATTTTAAAATTATATGTTTAGCTGGGGTGGGTGGAAGTTAGTGGGGAATTGGGGGATTTGGTGTTAGGCTAACTAGGGGTTAACGTTAAAAAAAGTTTTAAAATAAACTTTAAAAAGTTAAACATTAAGCTAAAAAAAAGTTGTAATAATGTTTAAGTAAAAAAAAAACACCCCCCTTTACCCAGTCCAAATAAAAATTAACCCCTTCCCTGCCAGTTGATCACTGCCTACAGTGATCAAAATACAGATCACAGTATTATACGGTAATCTAATTTTTTTTAACCCCTGAGGATTAACTTTTATTTATTTTTCAATTTATTTAATTAATTAATTTAAATATTTTATAATTATATATTTTGCTAGCTGTGGAGGGTGGGAGTTATGGGAAAATGTGGAATTTACTGTTAGTGCTGCTTACTGCTAGTTAGGGGTTAACGGTAAAAAAAAAAAAGCTTAGAAAACTGTTAAATCTGTAAAAAAAAGGAAAGTTTAAAAAAATTAATAAGCAAAACAAAAGTTTAAAAACTAGTTTTTAAAAGTAAAAAAAGTATAAAAAAATACATTTATAAACGCTCATTACCACTACACCTGGAACAAACTAGAGGTAAAATGATCCCACGCTAAGGTTCCAAAAAATATGCCTTTTGAATTACCCCAGGGTATATTCTTTATAGTAATTTTTTAGTAGCCACAAACACTGGCCAAAATTGGCGTTTTTTTGCATTTTTCACACAAACAAATACTAACGCTAACTTTGGCCACTGTTTGTGACCAAATGGCTACTAAAAAAAGACTGGACATACCCCATTTGCAATACCTTGGGTTGTCTACTATTGCAAATGGTATGCCATTATGGGTGTAAATTTCATTCCTGGGCTACTATACAGTCTCAAAGGCAACGTAACCAATCTGGCGAATTTCAATTTAAAATGTAACGTGCTATATTTGACCCTGTAACTTCCCAAAACGCCATAAAACCTGTACATAGGGGGCACTGTTTTACACGTGAGACTTTGCTGAATACAAATATGTGTATTTTATTGCAGTAAAAGCAAACAGTATTATGACATTGACAGTTAAAATGTCATGTAGAACTAAAAAAATTAAAAAATTCTTATTTTCTCCCATTTTTTTCATATTAAATTATGTTTCATAGCTAAATATTTGATATTAAATGAAAGCCCTGTTTCCCCTGAATAAAATGATATATAATAAGGGTGCGTGCATTTAATATGAAAGAGGTGAATTATGGTTGGACAGACAGCGCAAATGCCAGGTTTTGTTTACATTTTGTTTTCGTTTACAACATGTACATTTGGCTCAGTCCTTAAGGGGTTAAACTTACAAGACAAACATACCAAATTCTAAAATCGATCCACATTAAAAGTTTATTTTACTCCTTGTGCTTTGTGACCTGTAACTACCCAAAAAAACTTAAAATCCCAGACACATTATATATTCTGTAAATCAGAACAACTAAATGAATTTATTTTTAATTACTTTCCTTAACCTGCACTAATTATGCACACATTATTATTGCAAAAACTGTAAAAAAAAACACACAAAAATGTTCCTTTTTTTTGCGTTTTTCTGTATTTTTTTTTTTTTTTTAATTCTTTATTTTTGTAGTGTATAGGCTTTGAACAGGTGCATATAAGGTACCCCAAAGGCAGTCCTCCAGCGTATTGTACACATTTAAACAAAGAGGTACATGGTATATCTAACACATTTTTTGTAAGGATAGGTTAGGTGATAAACAATACAGGTTTTCGTCGTTTAGGTTGCGTAGGCATTTTCAGAACACTATGTAACAGCGATTTACTATCTAGTCATAAAAATTATTATGCTGTGTCAAGAGCTAGTGTGTGAGTACAAGCCAGGTTTAAGGGTG